ACTGACAATCTCTACACTGTGGGTTATGCTGATGACATAGCTATCTTGATATCTGGGAACTTTGAAAGCACCTTATGTGACCTCATGAGAAGAGCTTTCAAAGTGATTGAGAGATGGTGCAATGAGCACGAGTTATCTGTCAACCCATCAAAAACAGAACTAATACTTTTTACCAACCGAAGAGTTCTTGGACCGTACAGACTTCCGAAACTCTTCAACACTGAACTCAGACTCAAGAATGAAATCAAGTACCTAGGTGTGATTTTGGACAGTAAACTGCTCTGGAACAAACATCTAGAACACAAACTAAACAAATCAACGATCGCCTTTTATCAATGCAAAAAGATGCTAGGCGTGAAATGGGGCTTATCGCCTAAGATAACATAATGGATATACACTGCCATAATCAGGCCAATGCTAGCCTACGGAGCCCTTGTTTGGTGGCCCAGAACAGAACTCCAAACGGCAATTACCAAACTTGGACGCTTCCAAAGGCTTGCTTTGTCCGCTGCTCGCGGTTGCATGAAAACAACACCAACTGCAGCAATGGAGATGGCCCTGCAGATCTTACCCCTGGACCTACACATACAGCAGGAGGCAGCCCTGGCTGCTATCAGGCTTATGGTACTGGATCTATGGGGAAAAAATCACTATAGTGCACACACAGCGATTCTCAACAGGGCAATAGAGTATCAACCTCTTATTGCTGCGCCCTGTGATAGAATCACTAACCAATTAATATTTAACAGGAAATATCACATACAACTGAGAGAAGAGGAACATGATCGGTCGACCGTGAATGAGCTACGTATATATACAGATGGATCCAAAACAGGGTCTGGCTCAGGCGCTGGCATATTCTCTCTTGATCTCAACATCAACATACACCTACCTTTGGGCACACAGAGCACGATATTTCAATGTGAATGTGTCGCCTTAACCGAAGCAGCCAGAGCCGTGCAACGGCTAGGGATTAATTACTTTTGCATTAAATTCGTATCCGACAGTGCATCCGTGCTGATGGCGCTCGGAAACAAAAAAAACCAACAGCAAACTTACTTAGAATACTGGAGTGTCATGAAGCACTGGAGGTCATAACCCGAACCAATAGGGTTACCTTGCAGTGGATAAAGGGACACAGTGGATCTCTCGGCAATGATGCTGCAGACGAGCTTGCGAGAAGAGGCTCCGGAATGATGCCTGCTGGCCCGTATCCGCTCCTCCCTTTGCCCTTCTCGCTGGTGCGAACCTGGATTCGCCAGAGATCCGCTGAACTCCAGCAACAACGATGGTCGCATGGTGCTGCAAAGTGGCTCTGCCAGCAGTAAACCCGCAACTGACAAAGCGACTACTAAGCTTAAATAGAACCAACCTTAAAACAATGATAGGGACAATAACGGGTCATTGCCTCCTAAATAAACATCTTTTTGTCCTAGGCGCGACAGACAGCCCCCTGTGCAGAGGCTGTTTCAGCGCAGAGGAAACAGTCACCCACGTAGTCCTGGAATGCGAGGCTGTGGCTAATCAACGTGAAAAAATCCTCGGAACGGTGAGGTCGCTCCGGGAAGCCTGTGAAGTGCCCAGGAGACTTCTGTGCTTCTGGAAGGAGCTAGGCTGGCTAAAAAAGCCAGGACTCGTACGCACAACGGACCAATTACGAGTCTAATTGCGGAGAAAGGAGTCCTACTACCCTTACCCCACCCTAAGGCTATGATGGAGCCAATGTGATGAGTGGTATGTATAATGGTGTACAAAAACATATTAAGGATATCCAGCCTAACGCAGAGTACGTACATTGTGCCACTCAAAATTTAAATTTGGTGATAAATGATGCTGTTAGCAGTTGTGTGGAAATACAGATTTTTTTCGCAACGTTGCAAGATTTGTATAACTTTTTCGGAAACAGCATCAAACGTTGGGATCTACTGTCAAAACTTACTGGCGAATCGGACACCACTCTAAAAAACTAAATCCGACTAGATGGTCCAGTAGGGTCAATACTATATCTGCAATAAAAGTTCGTTATTTTGATATTATCAAAGCATTATCAGAAATTATTCTAAAGAGCCCTAATAAAGATGAGCGTAGAGAAGCAGAGAGTATTAAAACAAAAATGCTAAATTACGAGTTTGTGTTGCTTTGCGAATTCATGCACAGTGTATTGAACGACATCAATTATGCATCCAAAACTCTACAAAAATGCGACATCAATTTAGGCGAGGCGAGTAAAGTTTTAGCAGAGACAAAAGCAAAGTTGCAAATTTATAGAAATGATTTCGAATTATTCAAGTGCAAAGCCAGTGAAACTGCAAGAAAATATGGTATTGATACCCATTTTCAAGAAAAAAGGCAAAAAAAGTTCAAAAACATTTTGATGAATTAGCTGCTGATCACCGATTTCCAAACCGAGAAAAAATATTTAAGATTGAGATTTTCAATAATGTACTAGACACAGTAATATCTCAATTAGATACACGTTTTATTGGTATGAATGCAGTCTGTCATATATTCGATTTTTTAACACCAAAATTTTTATTACATGTTGATGAAGCAACTTTATTACAAAAGTGTGACGAATTCCAAAGAAAATATTCAGATATAATAGGCCCTAGTTTTTCACTTCAATTTATTAATATTTATCACCTAGTTTTACCTCAACTAACTCAAGCATGGACTGTTCACCAATTATGTAAGGAAATAATGAGCAAATATGGAGTGCTAGTGCGACCTAACGGAAGTATTTACAGCACTGTTATTATTCTTTACAATACCTGTCACTTCTGCAGCAGCTGAAAGGTCATTTAGCAAATTAAAAATAATAAAAAATTATTTAAGAAATAATATGGGCCAAACTCGACTCCGACATTTATCGCTAATAGCAATTGAAAACAAAACCGCATCAAGCCTAGATTTAAACGATGTAATTGATACTTTTGCGAAAACTAAAGCTAGGAAAAAATTGAAAATATAATAATTTACAATATGATTTAGTCAGTTGGTACTTGGTAGGCCTGACCTATATATAATAAACCCTTGAATCTTCTCTATTTCGTTTTATTAGCCAAAATTACAAGTATTAATTGTAATTTATGTTGTTACTGTTTAATATTTTTATTACCTGCCCTGCAGTACACAAAAAAGAGTTTAAGTAGCTTAGTATTTTAAAGCATTTGTATTTGTATTTCATATTTTTATTTGATAAAACCTAATCAGTTTACATAGCAGTGGGGCCCCATTTTTTTATTTGCCCCAGGGCCCTTGGTTTCCTAGCTACGCCACTGATCAGGACCAGACGGCATTCCATCCATACTATTAAAAAAATGTGGCAAATCACTCGCAGATAACATAGCCAAAATTATGAATGCATCCCTAAACACAGGCCTTGTACCGTCCGATTGGAAATCTGCTGTTGTTGTGCCAATATTTAAGAAAGGTAACAAATTATCAGGCTCCAACTATAGACCTATAAGTCTTACGTGTATATTATCCAAATGTATGAAGAAGATTATAGCTGAGAAATTAAGGAAATTCCTTTTCGATGAAAATATTATACTCTGCGAACAGCATGGATTCCGGGATACCGGGACGATCTGTCGCAACTAACCTTCTCATGTGCCTAAATCAATGGGTGAAAAGTTTCGACCGGGGTGATCCTATAGATATAATCTTCCTAGATTTTGAAAAAGCTTTTGACGGTGTCCCAGTTCGCCGACTTTTATGCAAGTTAGAGCACTTAGGGATCCGAGGAAAAATATTAGCTTGGATTACGAATTACCTTACGGAAAGATGTTTTCGAGTTCGCATTGGAGATGTACTGTCCTTGCCTCGACAAGTACTAAGTGGCGTTCCTCAAGGATCAGTACTTGGCCCTTTACTTTTTATTCTTTACATGACCGATCTGAAGAACTCACTACAGATTTCACATTCGATCTTTGCCGACGACATAAATTTTTTGGAAAGCCACTCTCCCAATCTCAAGCAATACAGGGTGGTTTAGATGATATTTTTGATTGGAACAAGCAGTGGCTGCTGTCATTAAATGTTAATAAGTGCACAATATTGCACATAGGAAAGAAAAATCAGCACATTACTTATCGCCTAGGTCAACAGCAGTTAATGCCAGTATTCACGCAAAAAGACTTGGGTGTTACTATCAGTTATGATTTGAAGTGGGAATGTCACATCATGAATATTGTGAAAAAGGCTAATTCCATGCTCTATTTAGTGAGAAAATCATACAAATGCCTTTCACCAAGAACACTCTTAAAGATATATAAATGTTACATTAGACCACTATTAGAGTATGCCTACAGCATTTGTGATCCTTATTTCACAAAGGATATTAGTATGTTTGGATATTTTCTCCAAATCACAATATATATTCAATTTAAGTTGATGTGCGTGTAGCACATTAACTTATTAAAAGCTGCCAGTGTGTTAAGATACAAATAATAATAATAATAATAACATAAAATACTTAAAAAAGAAACACTAGATATTATGATATCCAAACGAACGGAATTAAAGTCTACGAAAAATAAAAATAAATACTTAAAAGAAGAACTAAAATCTCTTTATAAGAAAACTAATAAGGCGATAAGAGAAGACTATCAGAATTACAGAAAGACAACTATAGAGAAAAACTTGACAAAATTTAGAAGTACTAAACGGGCCTACAAAGAATTGAGCACACATAAAAACTGGATTCAAAACCTCAGACAAAAACAAAAAGAAACCAAATCACGACAAGAAATCATTAAATGCGCAACAGCCTACTATAGAGAGCTTTACAAAAACCTGCCGGATAGTAACAACTTAACAGAGACTATGAATAACGAACTTGAAAAGGAAACTTAAAAATGACGTAATTTCAGAAAAAGTATTAAAGCACATCATAAAATTAAAATCAGAAAAAAGTCCTGGCCCAGACAATATCAGTGACGAAGCCTTAAACGTGGGAAGCTCCTCTGCTTTTCACATTCTTGACTAGACTGTTTAATATGGTAATTATTTCTGGAACTGTTCCGTATCAATGGTGCAAGTCTGAAATTGTCCTGCTGTATAAAAAAGGAGATACAAGAGATATCAGTAACTATAGGCCGATCAGTTTGTTATCCAGCATCTACAAACTTTTCTCATCACTGTTGTTAAGCAGAATATCAGACAAAATTGACCTCATGCAGCCAGTAGAACAAGCAGGCTTTCGCTCCAGTTTTTCAACAATAGACCATATTCATACAATCGAACAACTTCTAGAAAAATTTAAAGAATTTAATTATCCTCTATATATAGGGTTTGTGGACTATCTTAAGGCATTTGATAGCATCACTCACTGCTCCATTTGGGAACCATTAACATCTTGCAATATGAACTACTGCTATACAAAAGTGATCCAAAACTACAAGTTACTCAAACAGTACAAGTTCAATACGATTTGAAAACAAAGGGGAAGAAATTAATATAGAAAGAGGTGTGTGGCTCTCTCCTAAACTTTTTATAGCAGTTCTGGAAATGATATTTTAAAAATTGGACTGGAAATCTAATGGTATATGGATTGGTAATAAACAACTAAGCCACATAAGATTTGCAGACAATATTGCACTTTTTGCCAACTCGGCTTCAGAACTTGAGCAAATGATGCACCATTGAACAAAGAAAGCAAAAAAGTTGGCTTGCACATGAACGCCAGTAAAACTAAGGCTTTAAAAAACAGTCTGCAGAGACCTATACAAATAGAGGGCCCCAGATCCAATATGTAAAGGAATATGTCTATCTAGGGAAACAAATTTCCTTCAACAGCGACAGTAGCGAACAAGAAATTGAAAGAAGAATTAGAAGCTCATGGAACAAGTTTTAGTCACACAAAGAAATTTTAAAAGGACCTTATAATTTAGAGCTAAAAAAGATGGTAATGGATGTCTGTATTTTGCCTTGCCTCACCTATGGTAGCCAAACATGGGTGTACACTATTAAGGCCAGAAACACGTTGCTTACCCAACACGCCATGGAAAGGAGTATGCTAAGGCTAAGGAGGATACATAAAGTTAGCAACAAAACCATTAGGGAAAGGACAAATGTTACAGACATTCTCAAACATGCTCTAAAAATGAAATGGCGATGGGCAGGACATGTAGCCAGGGTAGCCAGACCAAAGATGGGCTCTCAAAATCACGAAATGGAGAGGCCCCCCAGTGAACAGACATCAGGGCAGACCAAAAATAAGGTGGATGGACGATATTGCCAAAGTGGCAGGCACAAACTGGCTAGAGAAAGCAAAGGATAGACAGGTTTGAAATGAGATGGAGGAGGCATATACCCGGATGGGGTCAAGGCTTCAATAACTTTTACTGACATAGTTTAAGAAATATACTAACTCAAAATAGGTTGTAAACAAAACAATGTGTAAGTCTTGAATAAATATGCTTTATTATATTATTATTTGAAATGGGAACTTCACATGATTAATATGGTAAAAAGAGCTAATTCTTGATTAGAAACCGTTTGAGATGACTCACACCAAGCACATAAAAATTACATATATCCACTCTTAGAAAGGGCTTGGGAATCTCCTATTCCAAGAAAGATTTCACCCTAATTGAAAATGTACCAGGAGGGCAACAGAAAAGAGGACATTTCTTGAGAACACACCACATGACAGACAACAAAGAGGAAATCTAATTGAAACATACAAAATTCTTACTGGTCATTATAATGTGCAACACAGTGAGAATATATTTACTTTAAATCAAAACAAGCATCTTTTGAGATCGTGCACTACTTGTGCCGTACAAAGTTCATAATTGCAATGCCTTATAGAACTTCTTCCCAAACAGTATGGTCCCTCTATGGAATGATGTCCTGGCGTCTTCACTGAATTATTTTAAAAACAAATTAAATGGTTTCTTCTTATTAATACTCGTGTGATAACTAAATACTAATAATAAGAAATTTTTAAGTAACAGTTGGTGCAATTCGCCGATAATGGTATTTTTTACATGTGAATCAGTGTGACCAGTGAATCGACGCTACGCGCGCCCGCTCTTCATTCCGCTAGCCCCCCTCAGGTACCTTATTTTTTACTTCTGCCGTCTGCGCAATAACGGTCAGCGCTAGAGTTTCGTGCCGCTAGTACTTGTATGCTTTATGAAGTTTCGTCCACAGGCTACTTATACATTAACAGAGTTATAGAGTATGCTAATTATATTATATAGCCGTGATTTTGATTTGAGTTACCTTATTAAGACTTAGCTTTAAATTTAATATATTTATTAAAATTATTATTGTAAGTCCCTCGCACTTAGTCCTCCGAAAATCGTCACTTTCATTTTTTGTCTACCATTAAAAAAAAATTTTTTACTAAGCTTAAATCCATAGAGTACGTATAATATAGGCATTGCAGAGTAGTGAGTACTCAAATCTGTGGTGATAATGTAACTGATGAGTGATGAGTGATGACAAGTAATAAATATTAAATAACTAATAAGTATGTATTTAAACATGGAATTAGTAGGTGTTAAATAATTGAGTAAAATGTTTACTATTTGAAAACAGTGTAATCTATTCGTAATTTTATTAGTAATTGTATAGATTCAACACAGTGGCGGCAAATCTATAATAATATTATGATTGTAATTATCGTAAATATAAACTACTACACCAAGCAAGGCAAAGCGGCTTAAACAACTAATAAGATGTAAACAAATTGTAGTAGTTCTAGTAGATAACTGGGTAAGTAAAATATGAAAGAATTTTTGTATTCTAAACAAATCTAAAAGATCCCACACATCAAAGAGAATACCTATATAATTTCAATCCTTTAATAAGGTGTCTATAGGGAATATAAATAACTAGTGATATAAGAGCAATTAATTTGCAAGTTAAACATGAATTGATTTCTTTGTCCTAAATAGGTTATTTTTTTTAGTCACCATGGGATCAAAAGACAAGATCTGGGCAATATCAGAGCTGACAAAATTTGCTCAGAAGTTCCAGAAAGTATATGCTTTGTGCAACATTTCTTGGTTTCACAGGGGCAGGCCGCCACTAGCAGTTAGTATAACATATAATTCATTTTTAAAATAGAGAAATCATATTTTATATATATACAATTATAAAGAGAATGTAATATGTAATTATAATCTTATGATTCCTATCTAAGGTCAATTATATGTCTTGTTTTTCACAAGACATTGTTCAATGATTTTGTTTCAATTTGAATCATATTCCACAACTATTATACAAATATATTAAAAGAAATTATGTTGAACCAATTTTAGTATATTTCTAAATCAGCATATAAGTACACACATATGTTTCCTTAAGATAACCCTAATATACTGTAAGATGTAAGGGCAAAGACTGTGCTGGGGATGGAAGTTCTATATTATGTTGTAATTGCTCATATAAAAAACAAAGAACATGTATATCTAATATAATAAGTATGCACATTACAATATCAGAATAAAAATACACCACAAATAAAAGCCAACAAGAACTTGACGTCTTAAAGCATAACCTATAAAATGCACATAATATTTATATTTATTTAGATTTTAGTTTTCTTTAATTTGTTTTCTACATGAATATTTTATTAATACAGAACAGACACAATATGGCGCTGAAAGAGCTGGCTTGCTTGCTGGGCGAGCCCACTGACGCGCGTTACATGGAGCAGCGCGTCTACGACTTCATTGGCAATTTACTGCACTTGGTATTGCCCGCACTCCTCACTGACTTCTCAACTGTCATGTACGAGTTGTATGACCACAGTAATAATAAATAAATGTATTTTATGTCTGCCTAGATGCGTAACGTGGCCCGCGAGGAGACGCCTTGGGACACGCTGCCGCCCGTGTTAAAGCGTCTCGGCACTCGCCTCAATTTCATCGACGTGGCGTCGGTTGTGCGTATTAGGCCTTTTTGAGTCCACAGGCAATAAAGTCGCAAAAATACTGAACCCCGTGCGCGTGTGGCAGATGGAGACGGGCGAGTGTCGGGCCGACGGCGCCGTCAACCCCGCCAAGATGAAGAGCTTCGCGACGAGGCTCGTGAAGGCGGTCCAGAGAGCCGTCGCCGAGCGTGCGAAATCGCAAGCCCTTCGGGGACTGCCGCCGCGCGAATGGGACACGGCCCGCTTCCTGAAGAGTATAGCCGCCGTCGAGGCCTTCGCCCGCGAGACGTCCGCCGACGCGGGTGCCCTGCTGCAGATCTGGTGAGTCCACGGCGCCTTCGCCGACCGACCGCCTCGACGCGCCCGCTATCGTTTCGACGCTCGAATCCTTCTCGCAGGCTACGCATGTACGAGGAGACGCGTCGCGAGCTGTGCCGAGGGGACCGCGGGCCGTCGCTGTCGCTGCCCGAGTGGCGGCTGGCCGACCTGCTTCTGCTGCACGAGCCCGCGCTGCCGCTCCTCGAGCGCGGCGGCGAGCAGGTGTGTCCGGAGCGATCGCTGCGCTTCCTCGTGCGACTCGTGGCAGCCGGCACGACGAGGCTGGCGCGGCGCGAAGGCCCCGACCCGGTGTTCGGCGCTTGCCTCCCGGCGCCGAATCGCCCCGAGGAGGCGCTCGAGTACGGAGACTGGGTCCGCTCCGTGTGGACGGCCGTCCACATCGCTTTCTGTAAAAAGTACGTTTTATTGTCTCCGCTTTTCCGTCGTTCACGCTCGATCCGACGAGTTCACCGGATCTAAATCTGCAGGGAGCGTCCGGTGTCGAGCGTGCTGCTGCAGCGGCGTTGGCACGAGCTGCGGCTGCTGGCTCGCGAGGACCGGGAGGCGCCGACGCCTTCGGCGCTGCTGCTGAGGCGGTTCCTCGACGCGGAGAGTGCGGCTCCCCCCTCTTGGACGAGCCTAGTGGAGCGAGGACTGGTCGTCGACCTCACGGCGTTGGTCAGTTCCCGCCTAATGTCCGCCGCTCACGCTCGACTCTCTCTCGATTCACGAAGCCTCTTCTTCTTTTCAGGGATGCCAGAACCCCGATCTGCTGTGTCTGCTCGACGATATCGGTTCGTACGGTCGGCTTCGATTCAGTTTAAAAGCACATTTTGTCATTTTTAAAATATTAGAAGATACAAAAGTAGATCTCATTCTTTTCCTAAGCCACCCTGCCCCCGAGGCCCGCGCCGGAGTTAGTAATTCATAAGAATACTACTTCAACAATTAATACAAAAGAACATATCCAGAACACACCGTCGTGTCTGCGACGTCGGAGATCCCTTCGGAGGCGATCCCGCAGAGAGACATCGTGCGACAGCTCCAGGCCATGGACCCCAGCCGGGCCGAGGTGTCCATCCTCTTCGACCCTCACTCCGACTCCGAGCCCGAAGACGGCCCCGCCCCTCCCGCGGCCCCCGCCGACAAGGACGACTCGCTGAGCTTCATCATCAGGCAAGCCCTCAACTGTCGATCCGTCGTGCGACTGCAGGCGCCGCGTCTGCGGGAGCTCACCGACGACATCCTCGAGAAGAACTCCGTGCTCGCCGACGAGCAGGACGACTCGGACGAGGAAAGCCCTCTGGTCATCGACGAGACCAAACCCGAAGTAGAGAGCGAGACGAGGAAGCGAACTCTGAGCGACGGCGCGGAGACCGCCTCCGAGTCTCCGGCCCGCGACCACGAGGCGAAGGAGGAGCCCGACGCGGCTAAGAGGGTGAAACGAGAGAAGAACGAGGAGGAGTCGCCCGGACTCAGTACGTATCGCCGAACTTCGCCGAGACGACATCTCTGCGGCGCCTCGATCATCGAGATGTCATTTCAGGTGAAAAGTTGGCGATGGAGGTGCGCGTGGTGCTCGAGAGGGTGGTCGAGACGGCGGACCGGACCCTTCGGGGCCTCTCGCCGGCCGAGCTGTCGCGGCGCCACGGGGTCGAGGGACAGGGGGCCGCCTGGTGGACCCGTAATCTTCCTCTGGCCGAGAAGTGCCGCCCTCTGCGGGTGACGCTGACCCGTCTCCGACGTCGACCGGCGCCCCGCATCGCCCTGCCGGACATCGACGAGATCCGGGAGATCAACAGGAGCATGCTCACCGCCGAAGTGGCCCCGACATTCGTCGGTTCCCCGGAGTCGGACTCCGCCGAGACCCTGGACGTCGACGACGAGCGGCCGGAGAGCAGACCGTTCCAGTACCTCTACGAGGACATGCTGAGGATGATGGCTCGCAACGCTAAGGTGAATCCGCGACTTCGGTCGTCCCTCGGCCCGCGCGTCCGCTCGAATGATCCTCGCTCGCTTTCAGAGATTTCTGCCGGCGACGCGAACCACTCCGCCGACGGACGCGAAGGCGGCGCCCTACCCCCGCCCGAAGGCCGTCGCCGAGACGTCGCAACTGAGCGACCTCGAGAAGTGGGAGAGGGAGAAGCGCGTCGGCCTGCAGTACTTCAGCCTGCCTCATCTGCTCGACCCCGAGCCCCGTCGGAGGGCCGAACTTCGGCGGAGGTCGGCCCCCGACCCGACGCCGCCCCGACCGGCGGCTCTCCTCGTCTCGGAGTCCGATACCGATTCCCGAGAGGACGCGTCGAGTCCTCGGGCCGACGAGAGACCGGCCGGCATATTGGACGACGAGCTGAGGGACCTCAGGCGAACGGAGAAGCCCGACTCCCGACCGAGGGTCTCGTACGGCTCCGGCTTCTTCGCTTCCGGTCCCGGTCCCGTCGCTCCAGGCCCCGTCACTCCCGGCCCGGTCGGCTCGAAAGGCGGACTCGACGTCCTCAAACCGGTGCAACCGACCGCGGGAATCCACAGTGAGTGAGCTTCCGTTGAGAGTTGAGAGTTTGCACATTTGATAAAGGATGGATATAATAGAGCTAAGAGAGAAGTTTATCATATTATTTAAATAAAACGTTCTTTAGGCTTGTTCAATTCGTAGATCCCGTGATCACGTGCGGAAGTCACTCGATAAGACTCGTGGAAGACACACGACACACGGCCGCCGAGAGGAAGAGGCGGATGAAGCTGTCGGAACGAGAGAAACGCGTCAAGATCACGTTCACCAGCATCCTGAACGAGATGGCCGAGGAGAGGAGGCGAAAGTCCTTCGCAGGTGAGAGGTCTTCGAGGACACTTTGTGAAAAGTCCCTTTTAGTAAATGACTTAATGGTTCTAAGTTAGGCTGGTTCCATGTCTTAGTCAAACACATTTGTTAAAAAGAGAGTATTTTAATTTCTCGTCCGACAGAAGGATTCGCGGGAGCCTCGTGCCACTTCAAACTGCCGGTGGAGCGCTGCGTGACGGCGGCCGAGTACGCGGCGGCCGGCGGCGGAGGGACGGCGCTGATGCGGGCGGACCTCGAGAGGCCCCTCTGGCTGGTCTCTCGCGAGTTCCTGGTGCTGACGAGGACGCCGCTGACTTTCGCCCGGCCCTCGTACTGGGGCACGCCGCCGGCCACGTCGCGCGTTACGCTCACGCGGGTGCTGTTCCCGGACGAGGACGACCGCCGGGAATCCGCCGTCGTGGACCTCACGGACGACACGGAGCCGGCCGACGGCGAGCTCCCGTACAAGACTCTCGTCGACGATCCGCCTCGGCGCGTCTTCGTAAGTCCCTTCGGCTCTCGCCCGTCCTCGAGACCGTCCGCGGCCGCTCTACGATGCTGCTCCGTTGCAGGTGTACAACATGGTGCAGGACGTCGTCACCTTCCGGCGGTTGAACTCGAGTCGAAGGTCGCTATTCCTGTTCTCGCTGCAGACCGGCGCCCTGGGCCACCTCCCGGCGAGCGAGACGACGACGGTCGACCCCGCCCGTCCGGTCGTGACCTCCGTGTCCGGCGCGTCGTCCGTCGGCGCGTTCCCGAGTCCGGCGGCCGCCGGCCCGTCTTCGAGTCCGCCGGCGGCGACCGGCCTGCGCGAGGTGTCCGTGAGCGTGCCGGCTTACGAGCGCGGCCCCGGCTCGGGCTCCGGCGCGCCGCCCGTCGTGCTTCAGCGGGCGGGTCTCGGGCCGACGCGGACGAAAGCCCCCGCGCCGCCGGGCCGAGACGAGGTCTCGGCCGACATAGTGTCGCCGCCGCCTCGGAGGCCCCCGAGCGCCGGGCCCTCGGTCCCGCCCTGGATCTCCCGAAGTGCGGTGCCCCGAACCGACGTGTGAAGACGAACGCGTTCTTTCTGAGCGAAGAGGAGATCCGACACGACTTGGCTCACGTTTAGCGAGACTACAATTGGTGACGTCACTATCTAATGAGTCGTGACGAAATAAATGAACGTCTTCCGTTTGCTCTTATTCAAAATTTCACCGTTTGTAAAATAATAAAAATATCGTCCTTTCCTTCCTTAATGCAGACTCAGTCGGGAATCGGGATAATAACTACTTCTCTTTTATTTGCAATTTCAGGAAGGCGTTCAATTCATCAGGGTTACTTACTTGCGAGAGCGAAATACTGTTCGGTGGCACGTGATATGACGAATTTATTAAAAATCTATGGAGATGAATGAGGCGACAATCATCTTCTACCGATCGACGACATTGATTCGTTAAAGATTTCAGTGTACCTATACGTACACACAATTGCACACACTATGTTAAATAATATTAAATTAAATACTTAGCTATGTAGATTTGTATAACAAAAACAATAAAACATTATCATATCATAATATTAGTATAATATGTTAATAATAGCCATTTAAAAATATTCTAATGACAGTATTTATTTACCTAACTAAATAAAGATTATATATTTCGGCAATGTTCAATTGGGTATGAACGTGAAACACCGTAATTAATATAAAATTAATGATGTAATATATAATAGACTAGATAACATAAAAATTTACTTTGACTAATAATGTAAAATTCCTTAAGACAAATTTGCGCGCCATCGTGTGGCAGAATATGCGAACGATTTACGATTGTATCACCGTATTAAAGTTTCTTATGATTTACGAGTTATCAGTTGTGTACGGTTCCTGGGTCATCGGTGGTTCGAAATAATAGAATATTTTTGACCTACTCTATATTTATCACTCGCGTAACACAATAGAATATGAGCGAAATAATAGGATGTTAATTGCTATATAACGAATGAGTGCAATTTAACAATCAGAGAGAGTGCCGATGTCTGGCTATGCTCTCGGGGTGAAACTCCGACGATTTAGGAAATCGTCATGCTTATAAGTGATCAAACTGTACCGCCAGGGCACGTACATACATACGAAATAGTTATGCTTGTAGATGATTGGAATGTACGAACCTTGGCACGTACCTACATAGGGAATGATCACGATTATAAAACTAAGGAAGCCTGAGTGAGCAAAATGTACAGCCTTGGCTCGTACAAGTTGTTTTGTTTTGTTTCGCATGAAGTGATGCGGCGCCTGCATATATTATAAAACAGGAAGGTTATCACCATAACAATTAAAACACAACTACTTATTGTTTAAAAACTCACGTCTCTTATGGTAAGGATCCTTAACAAACATTTAACACCAATATATGGTGTAAGCAATCACCACAAAATATACTTACATGATAAATTAACATTAAAAATGATAATGATGATAAAATATGATAGATGACTATTTCTTCACTTTATTGGCTCAAAGTATTCTAATAATCTAAATCTACATGCTATAGTAGTAGTCAACTAACAAAACACTTTAAAGAAATTAAAAGAAGGAAAACTCTCTTTATATTCATAATTTTAATTATAAGTTGAAAAATCTCAAGTAAATCGTAGGAGTGTGGAATATTGGACTGAAGTGGTTTTCAGGCTAAAAAGCACGGCGCTCGCACTAGATATGGCTCTACGTTCGGTAGTCGGCTTATCTGCTAAGACTTCTTTCAGAATTACCTTATATTCTAAAAGATCGCATATACAGAGTTCCTGTCTCTTCATCTAAGGCCACAATTTTATAATGGTTGTTTTAGTTGTGGTTGTTAAGTTTAAACCGTACGAATTAGATTTTCGCGTCTTCGGGAGACTTTTTCTAATTAGACAGAATTGACTAGTATAAATATCTAGGGTCCAAGACCCCTAGTAACAAAAATTTGAAGACCCGCATAACTAGGGCATCGAGCCCGGGTTTACCCGGACCGAAAAAACCCGGGTTTTCCCGGTTCTGAGGATTACAAAAAAACCCGGGTTTAATTTTTAAAACTCGGGTTTTTCGGGTTTTTTTTAATACTTTTGTTATTGTTATTTATTTAGTTTAAGCCACTTCGAATGCAATAATAAGTAAATGGAATAAAAAGACGCTTTGATAAATTGTTCTTTATTACGTAAAAAGTAGCTTCGTTGCTACGTTCCTACCAATAAAACAAGCCTTGCAAGTTAAATTCGCGTTCCGCGCGTCCATCTCAAGACATGAATAGAGTCGGAGGCGGAGGATCTGGCTAGTGCGAGTGCTGGGTTCTACACCATCAACGCGTTCGGACCACATCTCGACAAATGGGTGAGGAGGCGATGGGGCCGCCTCAGCTACCGACTCGTGCAGATACTGTCCGGACATGGCTGTTTCGGCAGCTATTTGCACAAGGTAGTCGGGCGTGAGGAGGCACCAACCTGCCACCATTGCGACGCTGGCGTTGTTGATGACGCGCTCCACACCTTAAAGGATTGCCTAGCATGGGAGGTGGAAAGGAGGCCTCTACTGGGCGTGCTACAGGGCGAGGACGCTACTCTCGATAACATTGTGAGAGTAGCAGTTACAAGCTCGGACAGTGACGGCATGTGGGAAATCTTCCAGAGATTCTGTGAAGCCGTCATGCACCATAAGGAAGAGGCGGAGAGGGCCAGGGAGAAGGTTCCTGCAGCCCACCCGCGTCGCCGTAGGAGACCACAGCGTCGCCATTGCACCGTGCAACCCTGTGTGTAATCCTGGGCATGCAGTTGCTCCAGCGGGGGAACAGGGGCTCATGCGTCCAAAAGAAGGGATGCTAACGCATCCCTGCAAGCATTGTACCCGGCCTCCCCCAGCTCTATAAAACAGGATGAATTGGCCGATGTGAAAGGCCCTTGCTGTGCCAAGGTCCATTCCACATCATTCGTGGCCGTAGAGGAACGTAATATTAACGGTTGATCGCGTGGCTGGATGCGGACAAGGCTACGCTGTTACCGTGTCCTGCCCCGGGCGATTGCTGGTGGCGCCGTGGGGTTTTAGTGGGAATGAACAACAGCGAGTCCCACATCACCCTTCCCCAGGTCAACCATGCCGCGGGAGGGTATGCGTAACGCATTTCCCCACGGAAAAAAAAAAAAAAAAAAAAAGACATGAATAGAGTGAAGTGTGGAGCAGTGGAGAGGGGAGGGTGTAGCGAAGCTCGTCGCGCGTTGTGCGGGGTGTTGCCGGTGATGATTTTTTTTAAATAAAAGCTTTAATGGATTTAAAAACAGATATTTTATTTACTGATGATGACTGGAGAAATAAAGATGAGATCCAAAAATATTTGATGTTATTAAAACTGTCGTCGAGGCGCTATGTCGACGCGATGCAACATTACTTACAGCTGATGTTTCCCTAAAATTTGCATTGACAAAAATGGATGAAATGAAGACACCACTAAGTAACAAAATGGCAAATGCATTTGGCAAACGATACCCAAAAAAAAACTAACTCAAGCAGCAACACTACAGTACCTACTTGACAAATACGGGTAAATATTTTGAGAACATTCAAAATGAAGATAAAACTGTTTTTATCGGCCTACAGGTAATGAAGTGCTAAACGAAATTGTTAATCTGATTAAACGCACAACCAAAAAATAAAATATACCTCTTGAAAATTTGCCAGCGCCAGACCAAGACCTACGAGAAATTGACATTCAGTTGTCTACTTTGTCAAATGAAGAGGAACTGAACAGACAGTTAAGTCAAGCTGTTGGTACTGATAATAATGCTCCTGAAACTGGATCAGCTTGTCCATCAGACGATTTGCTTACCTACTACTGTGAGGGTAGAAATAGCACTCTTCGAGAATGGCGGTACGCGACGGCGAGAGCGTTCCTCTCTTTTTTTCTAAGAGGTTATGTCTTAAATAATGTGTCAAATGCATAACTACTTTTTACTTAGTATTTTAGGTAATTAAATAAAGACCTAATTATTAATAAGTGAATGTTTCCAAAATAATTCATTTAATGTTAAAACTATCTCTGCAAGTCTGTGATTTAAAAATACTAGATTACTTATTAAGTTTTAAGATATTCTGAAGAAAAAATAAATCTTTATCACTTTTTTAAACATTAAAACTGTTTTTGTAATTTGTAAAGTACTGTTTAATTTATTTAAATTCTTCCTCATCCTTTATATTTTGTATTCATTCTAGGAAATCGATATATAAACGCAGATTAGTGCATTTAAAAAAAATCAATAAAAAGACCCGGGTTTTGATTACTCTTAGACCCGAAAACCCGGGTTTTCAAAATTGGACCGAGTTTCGATGCCCTACGCATAACGGTACCACGGCATGAAATGGAATAGGATTCTGACAAACCGCATTATATTGGGATAAGATTTAGGATTCTTAAATGTTATATTTGTCCGTCGTCCTGTATGGATGTGAAACTTGGACCAAAAAAGACCTAAAATCGCGGTCTTTTAGTGTTTAGTCTGATATACCGACCTGATCAAAACCCTTTGACCTCTGCATGAAGATACTTGGTTTTGTTTGAAGAATTGTAAAGTAGGTACCTATTTAACAATTCTTTGGGCATTAAAGCTGTTTATTTGCATTTATAAGAATGTTATTGAAATACTAATCTGATTGAAATAAGAATCCCTTCTATTTTTAACCGAATCGTGTACAAAAATCTTGTTTCTTTTAGTTATTATATACATACCTATTAGCAGTAGGTACATGAGAAACAATTAAAAAATCTTAATTCATACCACGACAGACATAAAATATTTTAAAATAAAAATACTAGTACCACAGGTAGATTGTGGATGAGCTGTTTTTTTAATAGATATGTCAATAATTTGCATAATTTTTGTTATCGTCAAGTATTTCTTAACTTTATGTTACGTTAATAAATATGTTCACTTCCTGAATAAACTTTCAAGAATCATAGGAGACAAATCCCAGAGGAATAAAAAAGCTTTCATGAATAAATAAGTTTATTAAAGAACTTTACGATGTTCCAACTTATTTGAAAAAAACAGTCGAGAAGCAGTCTCGTGTTGGTGGGAACAGAACGCGCCCCGCAGCCGAAAAACGTTTCATTGCAAGTGATTTCATTCAGATTACTACTCCTTTTCTAAAAAGTCGGTCGTCAACGTAGCTGCGGAGCGCGAAACATAATTGTAAAAAATATCAGTCTAAACTCTTAAAGTAAACGTTTCTCGAATTTTCGTTATAAATTTAAAATTTCGTTGTAATAAATAATACAATCCATTTAAATAAAACTTAATCTATCTTTAAAAACCGTTTCAAAATTCAGTCTAAGTACGATTATTTAAAGTAAAATGAGACCATATTTTGTAAAGTCGAGTTATCAAAAAAATATGTACACGCAATAATGTTTGCACTTATAATTATAAATTATGACTATAAAGATAATGGCTGACGAATCGGAAGAATAAACAATAAGCCGACGTATTCCGAATTTAACGCGCATTTCCGTCGCCAAACTCGGCGCTTTGTGCGATGTTCAGACGTTGAACGGCCGAAGCTTCACGACAACCGAATCGGTCCGAATTTGCGTCAAATTCTTAATTAAAGCGACGCACGAGACTTCAAAGTCGGGCCGGTGACGCGCTAAGTCCGATTCGGCCGTCGATAGGTATGGCTAATGGCTGATGGCACGATGGCGTAAATCCAAAATAGACAAATATACGCGAAATGCCGAAAGTGTATAATACAAATGTTTTTCTATAATTCTTATAGAAAAATATTAAACAGGCAATATTTACAAAAATTCATAATAAAGAAGTGAGCCGGCCCCAGTCTCACAGACGAACGAATATCCTAACGGTGTTAAGTACAAAAGATATATACAAGTGGGTCCGTGCGTTTCACTGTCCTCGCCGAGCTCCACTTCGGTTAACAGAATTGAGCTGACGAATACCGAAAACTTTTACGCGGGAGTCAGTCAAAACAATGTCCACAATATTATACAACTCATATAATACAGACGGTCGTTCGAGGGCCGTTAGCAATGGAACTGCTGCTGCGTGATGGCGGAGAGGTCCTTCATGAGGCCCTCGAGGTTCTGCATGTCCCGGTGGAGACGCTCCGTGGAGCGCGACGACGTCAGCCCCTCAAGCTCGACGCCGACCCCGCCCGGCTGCAGCCGGCCCGGCGACGAACTCGCGCTCTTCTTGTACGGCGACGTCTCCCTCACGCTGCCCGCTGCAGAGAGAAGTTATGATCACGACGGCGTTCGGAGGAGGACGAATAGTCCCGCGAGCGAAACCTCACCCTTGGAGTGCGAGGGCGTGGAGCGGTCGGAGGCGTTGTCGGGAAGAGTGAAACTGTGCAGCGGCCCCCCGCAGCCTCCGCGTCGCAGCGACCCGGCGCACGACGTCGCCCCGCCCGGCGCCGCCTCGCCGCTCAACGAGTCTCGGCTGCGAACGGCGGACCAGTTAGTATTCGGACGTTCGACGAGGTCCCGGAGATCGATATAGTCGCGAGACACTCACTGCGTGTACTGTCCGAGCGGCTCGTAGGCGACGTAGTGTCCTCTCTCGCGCGCCGTCATCGCGCTCGCGTACACGTCCCCGCCTCCGGCCGCGCCCAGCGGGCAGCCACTCGACGCACCTGAAGCGTGCGTCGAATATATTTCATTGTGTACGCCCGGACTGGCGGACATCCGCTACAATGATCCTGACATACTTCCCTCGTATTATTCGTTCTTAATCATATATTACTCTATAACCCCCGGCCTCGACGTTAGAACTCCGCAACGATCCGAGCCTCGTTCCTCATATCCCTTTTCCTCTCCAATCTTTACTCATCTCTGAAATTTGAAAAGCACTCTGATGTATACGTACAGGGCGGGACGGCGTGGGCGTGCAGCGAGCCCAGAGAAGACTGCGTGGAGCCCAGCGGGGCCACTCCCGCCAGCAGCGGTGTACTCTGCAACACGCGAGACATTATGGTCACGAGATTTTCGGCCAATTGACAGTGAGTTACTGCAAACCTGTGGAGGCGCGACATACCTGATCGGGGACGTGTCTCCGGCGCTCGCAGGTGGAGCTGCAGCCCACGCCCACGCCGACGCCGACGCCGGTCATAGCTGTCGTCATACAACGTTACGATTATCCGGAGCCGGGTGGAATGTGTCATGTCCATGCGCAGGATAGGATTCGATATACGTGTTAGTTAATTGTAAAGGGGTTAAACTAAAATAAGCGATAAAATCGATTCAAATACAAAGTCCTCGTCCAAAAGTACAAAATTAAGACTCGGGTTAGGTTAAAAGCGGTTTTAGTTGCGAAAGAGGCGAAGCATGCGGACCATTTGTATAACGTGATTCGCCGCTCTTGGCGTGAGGCATGCAGTGAGGACTTCTTTCTTAGGTGCCAAAACTCATTTCGAGCCATCGACCTCGTCTTCTTCTACTAATTATGCTTAAACGGCTGCAGACCTTTTATAGTAATAGACATTTGTGTTATGAATTTCATTTTATTAACAATATCTTGAATGGGAAGACGTGTTTTACATAAAAAATAATATTGTAAATAAATGTTGTCAAATCATCCGCTAAGCAGTACTACTAGATTTAGGTACCAGATCAGGCAAAAATCCGATTATACACATATAGAGGAATATTTTCTAGCAAATCAGAAAAGACGCGGCAATAAGCGTTTACTTCTATTTATTAAAGCTGCGAAGACGAGGTCGGTGACGCGAGCGAGTCGGGCGCCCGCGATCAGCTCTTCTACTCTACGTGGAAGCAGACTTTGTAGGTGAAACGAGGGAACGAAAAATAAAATAGACCTAAATAGGTGTGTGGCGAATAGTCCGGGAGGGGGAGGTCGCAGCGCGCGCACGGCGAGCTCGACGCCAGCGGACACGTGTCAGCGCTGCCCGCGCACGACGACGACGACTCTACCCAACACACAACACGCGCGTCAGACACGCCGGACCCTCCGAGCCCCGTCCGGACGGCGAGGACACCGATCGATCGTCCGGGAGGGGGAAACCGAAAAGACTCACCGACGTAGGTGGGCACGTAGCGGCGGTCCAGCGAAGCGGGCGCGGGAGCGTGTCGAGCGGGCTCGTACTCGACGGGAGGAGCGCGGCCCAGCGTGCCGACGCCGCCGTCCACGCTGCCCGCCGAGACTATAGGCCGAAACGCAACGTTTAGCTGGCGTTCGGATCGAGATCGAGTCGGAACGGAAGATAAGCGAAAAGTTGGCGTACTCTTACTGGCGGAGCTGTGGAGGCTCTTGTCGATGTGCTTCAGCTCCATCTGGTCGTGGTGGATCCACAGGTCGGGCGGCTTGATGCCCGCGGACGCCGACGCCTTCTGGTAGGTGCTGTCGGAAAAGACGTACGTCGCGGTTATCGGCACGGAACGAACGAGCCCGTCCTTCTCGGCGAAAGCGGCCCACCTGGTGTCGGGAGACAGCGGCGGGTGCGGTCGGCGGCAGCACAGCGACAGCGCCAGGGCGGCAGCCAGCGCCAACACGGCGCAAGCGCCTCCGGCGCTCGCCCAGAGCCATGCCGACGTCGCCGAAGCCAGGCCGGCTCCCTCGCCCGTCTCTGGAATCACGATACAAGTTGTAGTCCTCGACGCTCGATCGTGCCGGTCGAGAGCAATTCCGGCGCCGAGCCGGACCGTACCCGGGCCGGTCGTGTAGACGACGACGGGGCTGAAGGGGCCGAGCCCCTTGCCATTGCGCGCCTGAATCTTGAAAGCGTAGGTGGTGCGCGGGCGCAGACGATCGACGCGGGCCCTGGCGCGCTCGCCGGCCGCCGCCACCGCCGTCCACTCCTCGGCGGCCCCGCTCTCCGGGCCCCGCTGCGGCGCGTACATGATGACGTAGCCTGCGGACGTCGTCTCGGTTAGCGAGGCGGAGGAGAGGTGGCAGCCTCGGAGTGACCCGACTCACCGGTGATTCGGCCGTTGGGGCGGGTGGGTGAAGTCCAGACCAGGTCGGCTGCGCGGGAGGCGGGCGCGGCGGGTGCCACTCGCAGGTCCCGCGGGGCCCCTCCTGGCGCCGCCTCCAGCGTCGTGTTGCTCGCCAGCATGGACCACGCCGACTCCCGCCCTCCTACAAGTTTGTTCTTTTAGTATTTAAGATAAAAATGATAAAACTTTAATTTGGAAGATTTTTAAAAAAAAATCATGAATTACTCGAACTAATTTGAAAATATTTACAACTCCACAACTTGCTTGACGTTTCGAAATCGTATAATTATTTGTCAAACCGTTCGATAGCAAGTGCGACTTTGGTTTAAATGTATTAATAAATATATTCTTCTGCTACTTTTTTTTAAATAAATGCAGGAAATAGCTCGTCTTATCATTATATATTCAAAACGCCCTTAAAAGTTTTAATTAGCATAAAGTCAAAACTATTGCCATAATATTAAAAAAAAAAAGTTTAAATTATGTTATAATGCCCTATACTAGGTATGTTCGCGATAATGTTAGCTAATTAACTTAGCTTGACTAAACATTTGACAAAGTGTGGCACCGAGGACTTGTCTTCGAATTAAATAAACAACCTCGACAATTCTCAAATATCCTTGATTCATATTTAACACAAAGATGTTTTTTTAGAACCACCCAAAAATGGCGGATAAGACTAAATCAGTTCACGTAGACTTTACCAACAAAATATCTAAATAGCAGCCATTATAATAAGCTAACTAATAACTTCTTGACACCACGGGCCAAATGAGAAGATTGAAAACGACCAAACTATTGGAACTAGTGAATTAGTGGTAGTTCTCCTAAATAGAGACTGTGAGTAGTGTTATTGGACACTTTCTCGTGTTAAATACCTTTTTTTTTTGCAGGAATCGGCAAGATAAAAAAGCGTTGAATAAAGTCATCGGCGTACCCTTAATGAGCTTGACGGCGAACTCGTAGGTGGTGAAGGGCCGCAAGTCGTCCAGCATGCAGTTGAGGTCGGTGACGTTGTAGGTCCGGGGCCGGCCTCCGCCCGCGCTGGCCCAGCGCACCACGTAGCGCCGGCCGTCCGTCGCCGGCTGAATATTTCCGATTTTTATTATATTTAATGAATTATAATCGATAATCGCATCGGCTCCGACTCACCTGTCCTTTGGGCAGCGTCGGGTCCGTCCAGTACACCACGGCCGTGGTCCCGCTCAACATGATCACCTGAAACGTGTCACACCTCACTTTGATGCCTTCCTTTTGATAATAGTTTCTGCACAATAGTTTGTAAAAGCTTCGTTTGTCTCGAGAGCCTCTCGCGAGTTTCCTAACCTTGAGTCCGACGGGCGGAATGAGCGGCGGGGTGTCGTCGGCCTCGTCCGGGTCCTCGGGATCGTCCGGGTCGTCCGGCTCGTCCGGTTCGTCCGGGCCGTCCGAGTCGTCGTCGGGTCGAGCGCTCCGCGTCCGCACGGTGGCGTAGACGGCCGGTCCGAGACCCAGCGCGTTGCTGGCGCGCAACGATATCACGTATTCGGAATTCGGCTCTGAAAAGGTCATCGTGAAATTCGACATCGAGAGACCGACGAGAAGGGTCAGATGGAAAACGAGGACGCTCACCGAGTCCGCGTATGACGTATGACGTGCGGTGAATGGGCAGTTCCCGCGAGCGCTCGTCCGGCACGCCCAACCCCCAGCCCAACCACCAGCCCCTCGCTCCGCCTCCCCCGGCGCCGCCCCACCACACCGAGATCCAATCTCGGCCCGCGCGCGCTGCGAACGTCGCGGTTAGTGACGCTGGGAACTCATCGTCGACCGAATCGAAGAACACTCACCGGTCAGCGAAGGCGGCAAGTCGGGCACCGCAGTGTCGGCCCGCTCGGCGCCGGCCGTCGTCGCCGACACCCAGTCGCTGAAGGGGCCGGACCCGTTCGCATTTATTGCGCATATTCGAATCTGTGAAAAGAACGGTCGGTCGGTGAGTTCGACTTCCGGAGGCGGGAAGCGATCTACGGAATCTAGCGAAATATCGACGTCCGCAGACCTGATAAGTGGCGCCGGGCTCCAGGTCGGCGAGGTCCGCTCGACGAGCGTCGGCCGGCGTCGTGAGCGAATCGGCTCGGCGCCTGCCCCCCGCGGCGCCGCCGCCCGCCGTCCCTCCGCCCCCGGCCAGGCGGAAGCGGATCTTGTAGCCGGTGAGGGGACCGCCGTGCGTGCGCGCGGGCGGAGCCTCCCACCTCACCTGGATCGACTGCGTAGACGCGAGAGAAAAGATTTTTGTAACATTCATTCGATTTCTACACTGAAAAAGTGTAGCAATCGAAAACGCATTCATTATTCTCTGCAAAGTTTCTAAAATTGTATTAGATTATTCTCTAAGTAAAATAAAATTAAGTAGACTAGAAGAGACCGTGTGCGTGGCGGGCAGGGCGGTGACGTTGACGGGAGGGGCTGCGGGCGGAGCCGCCCACGTCCGTAGCGTGCGCTCGGACGACGCGGCGCCTCCGGCCGCACTCACGCGCACGCGGTACTGGCTCGCCGCTCGTAGGCCCTCCAGCGGGCACGGCGACGCGGCGCACCACACGCTCTGCTCGCGACCGCTCTCCACCTCGGTGAAGTAGACGGCGTACTTGGCGGGCCGCGTGGGCGCGGGCGGCGGCGACCAGGTGACGCGGGCCGAATGAGGCCCCGTCGCTTCCGCCCGCACGTCCTCGGGCGGCCCGAACGATACCTCTTCCGCCGGGGTCGTCACCTCCACGGCCTGCAAACGGATCGCACGATCAATAATCGACCGCGCTAATCGAGACTGCGAACGCGCTGGTCTACGGAAGGGTACCGACGGGCGTGAGTGGCGAGGCGGCGCTGGACGTGTAGGCGCGCGCCGTGATGACGTACGTGGTGTTCGGCTGCAGCGACCCGACGTTGGCCTCGTGCCGGGACGCTCCGCCGCGAGACACGCGCTCGCTGCGGATGGTCGAATCGTTAATAGAGGACTATACATCGACATCTTGCGCGAACGTGACGCGACGCACACGTACCGCTCGCTGCCCTTGACTTTGTAGAAGACGGCGTAGCCGGTGATGTCCTCCGACTTGTGCTCGGGCTCCTCCCAGCTGAGCGTGACGAACCTGTGCTTCACGATGACCGGCCTCAAGTTGTGAGGCGCCGAGACCGCGGTCGCGTTTCCCTCGACGTCGCTGTCCGATCCTTCGTCGGCGTGAAATGAAATATCGTTTATAGCATTAGAGTCGTCGTAGTCGGAGGGGCGCGGAGTGTACGCGGACGAAGTCTCTCCCAGCTCCATCTCCGGGTCCTCCTCCACGCTCTGGAGGTCCTCGAGGCCGGTCGGGGGATCGGGGACTGGAAACCATTCGACAAAACAAAAAAAACTTAAAAAAAACACAGGGAAACGGGGCCAACAAAAATAAAAACAAAGGAACGTGGAGCGAAAGCGGATAGGGCAAGGCGGCGTTACCGTGATGGGGCGGCAGCACGACGAGGCGCAGGGCGGCGGTGGCGGATCCGGCGGACGAAGTCGCGAAGCACTGGAACATGCCCGCGTCCACCGGCAACACGCCCTGGATGCGCAGCGACGTCCTGCGAGAACGTCGGCGTCGGTAAATAATCGGTCGGGAGTAAGGAAGCGGAGAATCTGGCGAACGCCCGCCTTACCCGTCGACGAGGGCGATGTCGTGGTTGTGCGGCGAGAGGGGCTCCCCGTCCTTGAGCCAGGTGACGCGGGGCGGCGGCCGGCCTTTGACTTCGCAACCCAGGCGGGAGTCGCCTCGCCGTCGCGCGCGCACCACGCCACCTTCGGACAGCATAACGCGTGGCATGCTCTGCGAAACGGTCACCTTTTTTTCTCAAACGCGTACAGAAACAAAGGAATGGCGGCGCAGTTACAGTGAAGTGAAAAAAAAAATTTGAGTGGAATAATCGATAATAGCTACCAAAACGTATAGATGGGTGGAGTGGTCGGCGGAGTCCAGGCGGTTGGTGGCTCGGCAGGTGTAAACGCCAGCGTCCGGCACCCTCGCCGACTGAACCCGCAGAGATCCGGCCCCCACTAAGTACAGCCTCGAATCTAGGTCGCTACACGCGAGGTGAAGACATATTTTTTTATTCAAACCATTTACTAACTAAACATTTTAAAGGGAAGTCATCGAACGAGAGCTAACTTGAGGTCTATGGCGACGCCGTTACTGAGCCACGTCACTTGGGGCTTGGGGTTGCCCACCGCCGCACACTCCAACGTCACCGACGCACCTGAAGGACAGGTTGAGGTTAACATTTTCACTTCATTCGTGGCACGAGACGACAAACACGAACGACCATAACCAACCTTCCATTACTGTGACGGGTTGCGGCGTGGCGATGAAGCGCGGCGCCGCCTCCAGATTAGCGATTTCCGTATTCACCCGCAGCTCGATCTCGCTGCCCGTGCTGTAAGCGGAACACACAAATGCTATACTCCGACAAAGGCATGTGGTAATGCGTCGCGGCGTAAGTCTGACCGAGCGGCGGCGTCACGCGGCGTCTGCAACGAGACACGACATCGATACAGCGCGGCGTCGTGCGGCTTCACAGGGTCGATCTCGAGCGCTCCGCTCGGCGTCAGAGACACCCGCGCCGCCTCCATGCGTACCGGCACGCCGTTCTTCAACCACGTCACCTGCAAAGCCGAGAAGTAGGTAAATTGTCGAATCGTTTATTTATTCTTATTTCAGTATTTCAGTGCTCACGTTGAGCCTGAGGAGCGGCGGGTGCGCGTGTAGACGGGCGGCTCCGTAGACTCGGCGGTCGGCGGCGGCGGGCACTCCAGGCGGCGGCAGCACGCGCAGCGCTAGACGAGGAGGCGGCCGCAGCCCGCACGACAGCAACGCCACGCCACCCTCCACCGTGGCCACCACGCCTCCCACCTCCACCAGTTCCGGCACTTCTGCAACACGATACCCGAGCGTCAGTCGACCGCCCGAATATATTCGGCAGCCGATTAAGCACCGACGGGGACTCACCGGCGAGGTGCACCGTGGCGACCCGGGACACGACGACGCCGACCCCTTCGAGGGCGGCCACGCACTGGTACTGTCCCGCTAGTGCCGCCGACATGCTCTCCAGCACCAGAGATCCGTTCGCAGCCTGTTTTCTGGAATGCACGTCAATTGTTTGCATATTACAGTGTATATGCTTATTTTGAACTGATTGGTTTGGAATAGTTTCTTCTTAGCGGACGAGTTTTCCTAATCTGTTCAGTAATTATTTATTAATAAATCCAAGACCAATATAAATCACGTTGCGAAATAAAAACGCGTGGCCTATCGGCCGACTATCTTCTTTAATTCGAAATGTCAATTACCTATACGTGTCGGTGTGGGGCAGCGTGTGGTCGCGCGTGGGCGCGTGCTGTACGCTGTACCGCCAGGATACGCGGGCGGGCGAGACAGCGGCGCAGCTGAGCACGGCGCGTTCGCCCGCCGCCACGACACAATCGGCCGGCTCCGCTGTCAGACGCACTACCGCTTCCTCTTTCTCTCCGCCTGAATCATGAGACGACCCATTGATTTATCAAAACCCTCAAAAAAATAATTTTATGATCGATTTGCCCTTAAGTTATTTTGGTGTGGTTTATAAAATAGTTTAGATTTAAAAATATTGTAAAACGTAAATAAATACATAAAATAATTAATGACCCCAGACAATAAATCCTTGAATAAGCAAGATCAATAACGTCTTAGAACATAACGTGAAATATGAAGGGTTTATTCTTTATCGTTTTCGCAGAACAAAAGGCCCGTATTGAATTCCGGGGCTATTAAGTTCTTGAATATCTCACTTGAAGCAGATCTAATCTAATTAAATCTGGGAAAGGGCTGACACTGCCCATTCAACGGACAAGATATTTATTATAGATATAGCATATTACAAATTAGAGGATTATATTCAACATAAGAATGCTTGGAAACATGCTGGTCCTGCTCCATAGGACAATTATAGAGCCTGGACAAAATCAAATTGGTTGCTGATTTTTTGCTTTAACATATTTTTGTTATTTCTTTTTTTTTAAATTTATAATGCTACAAATGTAATTATTTTATTTTATCTCACACACTGTTTTATTGTGTTTTTTTATTATTTTTATTACTCTTTAATGTAAATATTCTACGGTTTCGATATTTGTAAATAGGTATGTGAGGAACATGTATACTAACTTTTTTTGTATAGTAGTTTATTCTAAGAGTACATTGTCTTCACATATAATTAGAAAAATGAAAAAAATATGAAACATTTTAAAAGAGTAAGTGTGGAGTTTCTTGCCCATTCTTCTCCACACGAAACTACCTTTTCGAAGGGGCAACTAGTATCTTCTTTGTATTTTCTTTGACGTTCCAAAGTGCCATTTTAGGTGGTCTAATTGAAATAAATGATTTGACTTTTTTGACTTTATTAACAGATCGCTTTAATTTTTATCTAACCTACGCGTCGGACTTTACACGGGATTGTCTTATTTCTGCCATTTGAAAAACTTAATAAAGGCGCTTTATCAACACAATTTGTGGTATTGAATGAAAGCCCTTCATTCAATACCACACCACATAATTACACCGTTACCATATTTATTTAGGTAACTCAAACTCAAACTCAAAAATCTTTATTCAAGTGGGTAACCAAGTACACTTTTGAATCGTCAAGTTAAATTAATCGTAAATTCACATTTACTACCAGTTCGCAAGTCAATGGTAGGTACAGGTATTGTCAATAAATAACATATTCAATGCTAAATGCTTCTAATTTTACATTTACTGCCAGTTTTCAAATCAAGGGCATAGAACGGACGAGAAGAACTGGCAATAAACACTCCGCCACTCTTTAATCGCCAAGTTTTTTGTTTTACACAACGTTTGAAAGGAGCTGCAACCGTTACACCATGTTCCACATGACATCTTAAGTAATTAATAATAATAAAAACAAAGATTTGTCCTCTATCAGCAGTAGGCATGGTGAAATAGGAGCACGCACGAACAATACGCAAATACATAGTCGAAATAACTAACATAACTGCATACACGAATTCAAGTTCGACCAGTCGCCACAAGTAGCACCCGTTCAGTAGTAGTAGTAGTAGTAGTAGTGAGACAACGCCATCGCCAATATGTCGACGAAGTGGCAACCCTATGAAGAGGATTTGGTTTCTAACTTATTAGCAGATTTAAGTGAAATAAGGATACCTACTACGAGTATTGTACTATTATGTCAGAAGAGCCTTAGCAAAAAAATGGTTATCGTTAGCCCTAATGGGCTTTCATTTGGCTTCATTTAATCTGTTTGATTTCAAATTTTTTCAGAAAATTATTAATCCTATGTTTAGAAGCAGCTTCGCTGGGAAGTGTTCGCTTGATGTTTCCGGGTAAAATAAAACAAAAATAAATAAAATATGTTTATTATGGAATATAAGATACAGGTATCACTTATTCCACGTCATTAAATTTGAATCGGTACACATCCCTACTTATCGGCAAAGAAGACAGAGGGTGTAGGCCGAGAGAAAATGCCGGCGCAAAAGACTTTCATCATACAAAATGACTATGTCAAACAATACTTATTTTATAACTAATATCGCAAATTAATTATAAGTAGCCTGTCTAGCGGACTGGGACTAGCCCAGGCCCTTTTGTCAACTAGATAATCGTTAACTTTATAGTAATCCTTTTTATACAGCTTTTCATTAATACATTTATTTGATTTATTAAAAGGCAGAGATAAAAGAGCCTCTGGGATTTTATTAAAGAAAAGTATCCCTTTTGCCAAAAAAGAATTACTAACTTTAGATAGTCTAGTACGGGGAAATTGCAGCCTGCTTTGTTCCGGGTATTAACATTGTGCGTATGTTCTATTCTAGTAAACTTATCACTATTGCTCTCTCTATATGGTAGCTCTCGCTTTTTTACTTTTTACATATGAGGAGGCAAACGGGCAGGAGTGATAAATATAAATAAATAAATAAATACTTCCGCCCATGGACACTCTCAATGCCTGAGGGCTCGCAAGTGTATTGCCGGACTTAAAAGAATTGGTATCTTTAATATCAGTAGTCAACAAAGTAAATTAATACACTTTAAGTTAATAAAAGTAGCATTAATATTAAATCATTATACTTGTGAATATGAAATTATTGATTGAGCTTAGGAAGCCTACTTGTTAAAGCAGTCAATACATATGCACATGCATACAAAAACCCATCAATTCCTTGAGAAACCTTCAACACAGAAACGTTCACCTTACACAGTTACATTAAAGCCGATTTTCGTATGACTTCAATAACAATAGCCTCTGGACTGTAATAACAATGTGACTGCTGGGCTCCGAGAGGCATTGTGTTCAGCCTAAGTGACTGGAGACATTTGAACTGCCCCAACTCCGGGTTATGCGTGAAAGGGTTAATTGACGCTTTTGTGGGCTCGAGCCTCGGCCGGACGCGCGTTTTCTTGTGTACATTAGCTATATTCGTTTTGTAGCAAAGGTTTCAAAAATCTTTTCATCACTATAATTTAATAATAATAAAGCCTTGTGTTATTTGCATATATTTATAAGTTCCATTTTAAATGTTGTTAGCATTTACTTATAGCTAAATTTTAGTAGTAATATATTAGTCGCCTGTCGATATGGAGGGTCCATTCTTCGGCCCATCCTTGGGTGAAGGCCTCCACCAACCCTTTTCAGATGTCTCCAACTTTGCCAATAGTCTGCCGGTTTCCTTTTTTTCTGCTATTTCTATAAAGGCATCAGCCCACCTTCTTTTCCCGGGTGCTCCCCTTCATTTTGTCTTTAATGTCCATCTGTTGGCTCGGTATCATGTTACATAACCAGCCCATTGCTATTTTAATTTCAAAGCATGTAATCGGTTGCTTCAGATTTTGTCTAATGACTGTGTATCTTCTCTCTTCACTTCTCTCCATATCTCTTTGTCTTGATCTAATCTTCAGGTTAACCTTTGATGTGAACACCTAACCGTATATCATAGAGGGCATTATGTAATATATTTAATAATTAAATAGTTATATAGAGTTTGTGAATTAGCGAAATTTACTTTGTAAGGTTTCAAAGTTAATCATTGCTCGGTTAATTATTGCGTGAAGAAAGCATGATGATTTATCATAGTGATGTTAAGGTCCTTTAAAGTAATCATAATAATTAAAATACAATAGGTATTTTATTAATCTTCTAGCGGCTGTAAAACGCGTAAAAGATTGTGCTGCAGCACCATAGAGAGATCTTAAATTAGCTTTAATGTTTTCATCATTGTTCAATTTTTGAAGATAAGCGTGACCAAATTGATCCCTGATCTATATGCATAATATAGTGTTTGTTCCGCTTCGACTCCGCTGGGGTGCTACACATATACACAGTCGGTTGGACGTAGTTCCCTCAATTCAGCACCGTCCCATTCATTTGTGTTATATGTACACACTTTACATAGGACAGAAACCTTTGAAAAGTTTTTAAAAAGATCTAATCTAATAGGCAATTAGGTGATCAGCCTCCTGTGTCTGACACACGTCATCTACTTTTTGGGCCTAAGGCAAGACGGTTTCCCCACGATGCTTTCCTTCACCGATCGAGCGCGTTAAATGCGCACTTAGAAAGAAAGTCCATTTGTGCAGAGCCGGGGTTCCATGAGGTATGAGAGTCGCACGCTGAAGTCACTCAGCCAACACTGCTCCTATTGTCCAAGACGAATCACAGGTTACTGAATGTTAATAGGAGTGCTCTGTAAACATAGAGTTATCCAATATAGTATAAAATATGGTCGTTTCGTAAATATATTTCCTAAATTGAAAGTCTCTCTAATGGCGCATATGTGTAACCTTTCCACTCGTGCTGCTCAACTCAGCGTGTAATTGCGAGGACAATCGTTGATTGAATTTGATCTAATTAATACATTTCGTTTGACAGTATTGCTCTGCTTGGAACTGCCAAAAACCTTTCACGCTGTTGATTTAAATGTAATTAACTCTTTCCTATTCCTGGTAGCTATTGCCTTTAGGCGCCTGTTACACGTAAAGTATTTACATTTTACTGTGTTTCGCCTATAAATACTTATGTATCATGGTATTTATTAAACGTCTAACTAGCGTACTGATGAATGTCATTATTTAATAATGGATTTCTAGATTTCTTGATTCCGTATTGACGATTCTTCAGAATGTGATAAATATTGAACGTTTAATAGCTTCACTTTTCAAGTCTTTTAGATCTACTTGAATAGCTAACAAAATATGTTTTTAAGTAGAAGTTAGTAAGAGATAGCAATAAGTTCTTCAAAGCAGATTTTGGGCATTCGAAAATAATTTTTGTAATCTTTTTCGCCATGTAGTTTAATTTCGGTCATTACATTTAAATGGGTTTCTCTTTGTAGGTACCAGTTTTTTGACCATCTTCTTCTTTTAACTTTATTTTAAAAACCAATTGCTTAAAAAATAGCCACTCAAGCTTTAATTCTTTTCTGTGACTATATACTGACGTAATAAATATTGAGCGTGTGTCTGGTGTATTATTCCATCATTAAAAGCAGACATCTATCAACAAATACTGAACTGACGAATCACAGTAAATACTTTACACGTGTAACAGGCGCCTAACGCATCCCCTGCATCATAAGTGATAGGGATGTAGACAAGTATGCTGTCATTTGTCATAGCAGTTCATTTAAAAATTATTCAAATTGATTTAATACTACTGTTTGTAAAGCACAAATGTTCCAATAGGATCATTCACAATGTTTATTGATAGCCAACAGTCAGTTTGTTGCGTCGAGTGTTGAACTGCGCTATATTAATGGTAAGAAGATTAAACTTCTTGTCGTTACATAATAATCAAAGCCTTTTATTTCAGATACTTTTACATTTAAAATTTAATGTGTGCCCTTTTTTGCCAAAAGCCTTCTAAATGCTGCAATTCCTGTCTGCACTGTGCCACTCTCTTCAGCTGCTGTTCCATTAATCAGGTCTATCCAACCTTCTAAATTGTCTTCCTCTTTTTTTATAATAGGGGGGCAAACGAGCCTGCGGGACGCCCAAAAAGGGCAGTCATCGCAGCCCATAGACACCCATTTTTTGTGGGTGCGTTGCCGGCCTTTGACGGCGGAGTACACTGGAATTTAACTTAACTCTTTTGAGTTTGTTGTACCTTGTGCACCAGTTTAATACTTTCTTTTGCTCCACATTTCTGCTCCTCATGCCATGTGCCCCGCCCATATCCATTAAGTTTGTTTTTGTGACATCTGCTACCGCAGTTATTCTTAATGATGTCATTATTGTTTTATCTATTCTTTTCTTCCCTATCATAAATCGTTACATCGATCTTTGTAAACATACGAATACATAAGTACTCAATAAAGTTGATCGGTTATTGAAATATTGGAACTGAACGTCAGCCACAGTACCGTGCAGAGAGTGGACTTGAGAGGGCGAGTGAGTGGTATCGACCTAGTTAGCGGCCGTCTGTTTCGTGTCGCGTCAAATGTGGTCTCTCCAACATATTACTTTTTCAATTAAAACCATTTCGAAGCTCCTTCAATAAATACTCCGTACACTTTGCGGATATCGGTGTGGGTAATAAACAAATTTCTTCTGATAACTCACGTTGGCAGCTCCAAACTCCAATAGAAGAATCGCGTAAGTGTCGACAAAGCGATGGCCTCATTAAAATGGTCACTCGGCGAATCTGTGACAACTACCACAGACAATGCAACTAATACCAATACTTACTTTGATTGGAGGATTCTTTTGAAAACTTTCGTTCCATGCCAATATTCTCTTAAACGTGAACATAATAGATTCCCACTTTTTTGCGAAGATAGATACTATAGAGACAGAAAATTACTATGTCAAGAAAATATCGCATTTATCGACCAATTATTATTGTGTAATAAAATAAATATATAAACATAAACGACACGCAAAAACTAAAATAATATACATTGAAAGAAAAAAAAAACTAACCTTAACATAAACTAAAATATATTATTAAAAGGAGTCCCTTTAGGCAAGGTTCCGAATATACTGGCAGCGTTCCCCCTTTGAATCGCTAGACTAATTCTTTGTGCGAGGTAGCTGCCAGATCTTCGGTCTCCTGTGATGTCGACTGACCTTTTTGATATGTCTTTAAAAAGCCTTAAAGCGCTAGGACCCCACGGACCAAGGGTCTCGACACCGAATGGGACACAATCATATTATGCATGCTTTAATTTTTTTTTTTGCTTTTTTTTTTCGACCAATTTGTCATTTACGTCTAGCAATATTAAGATTTTTTTTAAATATTCTTTATTGATTACGAAAAATGGGAATAGACCGGGAGATAGTGACACAAAATATTGGGTATTTTGTACCAGGATAGCGGTTCTTCGCGTGGGGGTTAGTCGATCAAACGCTTTGTTCCACAAAAATTCTAGTATTTTCCGATAGTCCATAAAATAATAAGAGGCCGTTGTGTCATGTCATACTTCTCCGGTGTCACTTACAGCCCGCCATACCGACGCGAATGGCTTAATTAAAAAAAAAAACGTGTGGCATTCGGGGACTGCCACGGTAAAGCTATTTCATAGCATTTTTTATCAACTTATGTAATTATAATTACGTTTTATTATACAGTATTAGTTTATTTTTATTTATGTAGTATTTTTTTTCTTTGATATTAATTCTATCTACCACTCTACCAGACTCCGCTAACACGCCTATATAGTCTGTCTCACTCTAACGCGTACTTGCTGCACCGGCCGCGCTTATGCCACGTCACCGATCTCGTCAGAGAGATATGAATAGAATACGCAGTATGCGTTATTTCCCGCTCTAATGCGTATTGGCCGCAACTATATTACGTCATCGTGTGTTAGGTTCTTTTCGTTACGAAATTTCATAATTCGGTCGCCGCGCTCAAAGCCCGCGATAAAAACTATGCAATATCTTAAAAATTCAACCACTTGTACCAGGCTAATTTTTGCACAGTTAATCATCGTCGTGCAGCAATGATGAAATGCAATATGAAAATCACCATGCCATTTGGGCTGCCGGGACCAGCGCTATGGCCATCATTTTTATGTTTTTCATCGCGTAATAAGAACCCTGAAGAACCGCCATACTGGTATTTTGTGTCACTATCTCCCGGTCTAGAACTCAGTCCCTGAGTTGCGATAGCAAGATTCTGAATCTCGAGCCAGTGCTGGGGTCCGTCATGGTATTTAAATATAATACAGCTAATCTGGAGTATTGCACCAACGTGAAGCTTTGAAGCCCGTGAAGGTCGCCGTGCTCACCCTCCATCAGATATTCCATACATAAACAACTTCACCGCTCGTTTGCATCTTACATTACGCTCGGTCTTTCCGTGACCTATGGACCTACACTAAATTTTCAAACGTAATTTATTCATAATAATAGACTTTAATTCATATACTTTTACACTTAAACACATTAACATTATATTTATTATCTCATTGTTTTTAGGTATCTGTGTGCCCTTTGTTGTCAAAGGCCTCCTCCAAATCCCGCCTGCACTCTGCCACTCTCTGCCATGTACCACCTGCTGTTTCCTTAATATGGTCTATCCGCCTTCCTCTTTTTCGTTTATTTTACCTTGTGCAGCAGTAGCACTTTTAGTAGTTATTGCTCCATTTTTCTGGTCCTCTTTCCATGTGCCGCCCATTTCCACTTAAGTAGAATTGATTATTACTCATGTTTAATTATATAAATGGTCTCTTAGTTAATCCATTTATTCAAACAGTTTCTATGTCCAAAAGACGATATGTGATATGTGCAATGGCATCGGCCAAATGTAGCGGCATATTTACGATCACAAAGAGAACAAAGCTTAGCCGGCGCCTGACACTGACATACAAGCACACAGCTGAAGAATGTATGTCACTCAAGTGCACAGCTACATTTAGCACGTCGATTTATGTGGTAGCCAAACACTTAGTTCTACAGATTTAGTCAAAATTGTGACGCCGTAGCCGCCTTTTCCCTTTTTATTTTAACTTTCAAGTGTTAATTAGAATCCCTAGCAGTTTGTAGCTGAAACTTAAATAGAGATTTAAGTGAAACTTAAAGTTTCTTTGTGTACCCGCACAATAGCACTTACAACGTGGCTAGGATTAAAAACAGAGTTTTAGCGTGGTCAAAGAAGCGCGGTACGGTCGATATTTGACCAGATCGATTATATAAATAAAATAGCAGTACTGTCGGATTAATGGCTCCAGCATGCGACTCTCATCCCTGAAATCGTAGGTTCGATCCCCAGATATGCAACAATATACTTCTCTCTGACTGGACCACTCTATATATTTAACACGCTCGAACGGTGAAGGAAAATCATAGTGAAGAAACCGGCTTGCCAACCCAAAAAGTTCACGGCGTGTGTCAGACACAGGGGGCTAATTACCAACTTGCCTATTAGGTTGACAAATGATAATGAAACAGGTACATAACTCAGGCTTTCACAGGCAGGCAAACTTTTTAGCGCCACTGAATTATATTTTTTATAATTACATTAAATGAAGGGGCAGAGTTAACACTAATAACTAACTATATGTGCCGTACCCACGTTAGGCAAATTAACCGAGATTGGGTTTTAGAAGTTACGAGTCCCAACTTGCTATAGTAATTTCATTATAATATTAAACAGAGTACAGAGGCCGAGTCCCAAGCGGTTAGCTTTATTCCTACAAGTAGGCCGGCTCTATATTTTATTAATTCCCGCGAGTGATTTAGGTGTTTATGGGCAACTTGGACCGGCATTTTATTAATGTCGATAGTGATGCGGTGACGGCATTTATAAAAACCAGATAGAAATTCCAGTCTAGAAGTTTCATCCAATAGGCTATTTTTTGTTAAGTCTGAAGAACTGACCGCGCAAGTACATTGCGTTAGTTAGAGCTAATGATGTCCTTATACATTTGTTCCACGTAGGGCCGATAGAGTCGGCTTTTTAAGATATCTAATTAGCGATACAATTAAACTGAAAACCAAATATCACTAGAACCTAACTCGGTTACGACAGTGGAGATAAAAGCTTAAAACTAAATATAAATTATTTATTGTAAATTTATTCTGAGATTGTAATCTGCCAACCCTAGACGAAATACTACCTTACATACGGATATTCGTTTTTATCGCGTTTTTGTCAGAGTGTGACGACCTTGTTAATACTCTTTCTCATCATTTTAAGAAAGAAACGGACTTCCAATTAGGTTTACGTTACTTGTATAGTTCAGAAATTATTTTAAAAAGTAAATCAAATCTCCGTAACGGATATCGAAAACGGCCGCGATCAGTTTCAGATAACAATTTATTTCCAACACAACACAATATTTCAAATATTCTTAACTACATAGTAATATGTAAATTATAAAAATTGACAAATAGAAAATTTAAAAGAAATTTAAGGTTGGTCCTTGTGGCAGTGTACCTTTAACGCTGGCAGCATTTCCTCACTGTATTGCGATACTTATTCGTTAAGAGAAGCACCAGCTCTGGGGTCACCGGTACTATCTACCAGGCGTTAACTAAAATCTTTAATTGGCTGTGCACTTGAACCCGACTTCCCAAGAGTTTCTACTCCAAAGGGAACAAAATCAAAGATGAAGAGGCACAGCGCGATCTCCCTAATATTTTAGCAACCGTTATCAATTTAGTCACTTGTCTTTAACGTTATTAAACTGCATCTGTGCAGTGTTCCGCAGAGTGACGACGATGACGTCACGCGTCAGAGTGACAAACGAGCGAGCTAATTGAGTGTCGTGCAGTGAGCGATACTTAAACATTTTGTAATTGGATCATATCCAGCAAAGTTTTCCTTTTAATAATAATAAGAAATTGATAACAAATTTGGAAATTTAAAAACTGATAAATTATTTAAGTAAATCGTTTATAACATTTTATTTTTTATACATATATATATATACTAGTGGACCCCACAGACGTTGTCCTGCATGATATTTAAAGCGATTTGGATATTAAGCAAAGTATGAAAGTACCGACTGCAGTGCCATCTGCCGGGCTGATTTGTGAATCTAAACCATTCCCAGATCCCCTTGAACACACACAAAAAATTTCATCAAAATCGGTCCAGTCGTTTAGGAGGAGTTCAGTCACATACACACGCACACAAGAAAATATAATTAAGATATATATATATATATAAATTCTCGGATACCAGTAAGGGGGCGTCCATAAATTACGTGAGGTGTTTTTTTAAATTTTCTGTACCCCCTCCCCCAACCCCAATCTCACGTGAGAAGAATAATACATTTTTTTTATGTAACAGAGAGGGCAAGTGACTGGTGGTCGATTATTCGAACCGTTCTTCGTTCAATACGGTTAATATGAAGAGTCATAGATATTTAATATTTTAAATAGGAAGTACATACGTTGACCTGAATGAAGTATATTGCATGAGCCCCTCTTAACTAGACGCGGCAATATCGGATCAAATCATTGGGCGTTTGGTCTTAATATTTAATAATAAATAATATTCAAAGTAATTAAGTATATGTTATATTCAACACTACTACAACTCCGAATGATTGATGCCCTCCAAATCTGATGACAAATTCTTCCATTTGTCTCTCATCTTCTCTACTAGTTTCCCATCCCCGCTCTTTTATTTCATCTTCCCAGGTTTCTGGTGGGAGTCTTCTCATTTTTCTGTCCACCAAGCTATCCAAGTAAGGAATGAAATAAAAAGAACAATGTCTAGACGAAGATAATTACCAGCTTAATTAAAGAGAATTTAATCTGTCTTAACTGCAATAGGTCTATGCCTTTATGAAAACCATTGCATATAAATAGAACTGATGGCTGTAATCATGTAAACAAGTCCCCGATTACCATCTCATTAATATTACTATCATCATCAAACATTCACGCTTGTTTGTCGACAACATAGTAATTAAAAAGAAGTCTAATTATAGATATTTTTGTAATAAACAGGTCTTGAATAATTTCAAAAGCTATTAGGGATGATTTAGAGTTAAGGAGTAAAATTATGTATTACATTAATTGCGATAAAACTTCTTCAGTGATTTCCTTATTCTCGTACAATTTAAATTAATATCTTAAGCAAAACAAACGCAAAAATACGCTAATTAAAAACACGATGGGGGTCCCTTGACCCTTAATGTTACACATTTTATCTCTTATTCTACAGAGATCTTTATATGTTTCCGCAAAAACGTGTTTATAACTAATCTATAAAATAAACGACAGATTCCTAATCAAATATAATAACAAAGTCATCCTTTAAAAGTCCAACAATAATAAATGAGCACCAATATTGAATTTTTCGTATCATCAAATATTTTTAATGAACACAGTGTCGCCTCAGGGCCTGGCCGGGGTTACAAAGTAGGAAATATCTTGGGGTGGGGCCTTCAAATCGATTTCACTTGAAAATTGACTTTATTTACGAGGGGCCTAGAGTTCAAATAAATAATAATAATTAAACATATCAGATTTTGATATATACCGAGCAGTCAAATGTTTGTTGAGTTGTTGAGTTTGGGTCTCTCTCGTAAACACTATCTTTACAACAACACTTCTGCATTATGTTGGTTGGACAGAACATTAATCTGGTTTAACTAAAGGACATCCAGGAATGCAATTAAACTATGCAACGTGCATAACCCACCCTAATGCCTTTATGACCCATAGATCGCCCTAGTTTTATAAAATAGAAAATAAAGGAATTCAATATATCATATTGGAGCGCCTCTACGCCGTGATGCACAATTTTACTTCTTACATACTAGTCATAAGACTCATATGTAGTACTTTTAAAGTATAATGTCGATTGCACACCCTCGCAACACTTGTTACACTTACATTTCATTCATATTTTTTAATTTTCGGAGTAAATGTAAAGAATAAGAAAAGTGAAATGGATACCCTAAATTTATTTAAAAAAAAACGAATTAAAATAAATTTTTGATTAACATTTAACATAATTTTAAATTTATCCGACGTTTCGCGTGCTATACAGCGTGCGTGGTCACGGTGGTCATTGTAAATTTATAATAATACATAACTTTCATCCGGTTAAAAAGTTTTTTCTTTAAAATAAATTTAATAAACGACCAAGTGATAATTCTAAGGACTAAGATGTGGAGCCCTACAACAAATGTTCGTGTAGTGCGAGGGTGTGGGGTTCCCTGTTCCATAGATCATTACCAGTGCACGTGTTCACTCTATCACAATATTCACGTAATTGCCTTTTCTTATTTATATTAACTATTGGGTAACTTTGTAGAAGATACATTAACTTCCGACTTTTATTCGAATCTGATTTGAAGAGATTCAAGATAAATTGGGGTATTTTGCAAAAGGCGTATCAAATTTACAAGAGAAATGTAAGATTATATGGCATTGTATTGTCTGGTGAAATTTTCATCCCTTTGCATATTATATTGCAGAATATATTCATGCTGATATTTACATATAAATATAAAAATTTAGGTGTTATGTATGACGAAAAATAAATTTCGAAACATATATAAATTGTCCTACACACAAATATATAATATTCTTAACCTACTTAGTAATAATAATAATAAAAATGTAAATAATTTTCAATTATATATCATCTAATATAAAATGTATCTTTAGTTGTTTACGAAAGATCAATTTTATCAATTTGAATAAGTAAAATTC